GCCGAGGCCGACACAGTATCTGAGAGCGCAGACTCACCAGTACCTGAGCGTGCAGGCGCAACGGCACCTAGTGCAGCAGCCTCACAGGCACCTAGAGCAGCAGTACCAATGCCCGGGTCGGGCGGAAAACACCGGTAACAGTCATCCTCATCACTACCAGTCACAGCATACATAGCAGAAAGAATAGCATCAAAGTCAAGATCATAAACAGCTACACCAGCCCTAGACAGCTCCCCCCAGCGGGGGATCTCAGCGGCCTCCGGAAACTGCTGACGCCAGGCGTCGGTCAGGCGGCCAAAGCAGCGGCGGGCTGTGTGGGTGCCACCACACCTCTCCCCCGCACGGTCGCCGGTGCGAAGAACGTAGGGGCAGGGACCAAACGCACCACCACGCTGACGCTGCAAGTACCACTCACGGAGCTGCTGAGGGGCGGGGACGGCGCGAGAGCGCTGCTGCTGCTGTGGCTGCTGCTGCTGCTGCTGCTGCTGCTGCTGCTGCTGCTGCTGCTGCTGGCGCTGACCACCCCCAGAGCTGCTCCGCTGGGACGAGCCACTCCGACCCCCGCCGCCACTGCCACCCCCGCCTCCACCGCCACCCCCGTCTCCACCGCCACCGCCCCCACCGGCACCCTCGCCCCCTCCTCCTCCGCTACCGCCTCCGCCGCCACCTCCGCCTCCACCGCCTCCACCAGTACCTCCACTCCCGCCACCACCTCCACCGCCACCCCCACTCCCCCCGCCACCCCCACCTCCTCCGCCACTGCCCCCTCTAGCTCCACCCGCTCCCTTGCCCCCCTTGCCCTTGCCAGAGCGGCGTCTACCGCTGGGGGCAGACGCCGCACCGACCGACTCAAAACCAGCGAGGTCGGCCGCAGCGGCAGAGGCGACAGAGGGCAGCAGGGGGGAAGGAGAACAGCCCTCAAAGATGGGGGTGCGAGGGTCACCCCGAGAGGCCCCTACAGCGACGATGCTCTTCTCAGCCGCTAGCAGGGACTCCTCAAGGAGGTCGACAGTGAGGGTGGTGGGACAGACAGAGAGAAACTGGTCCCTAACGACACGAAGGGACTCAGGGAGACGGGTGACGAGAAAGTAGAGAGTGATGTACATGGGAGGAGGGTTTGCGGCGCGGAACTCAGCAGGAAGGGCAGCGCGGTAGCGAGCGTCACTAGCGCGGAGGTGGGTAACGAGGTCAGCGACAGTGGGAAAGGCAGCGAGGTCAGGGAAGAGAAACGGTAGCATGAGGCGGCTCAGCGTAGCGGAGGAAGGGGAGGAGTAGCGTGCAACTACAGCGTCGTACAAGGCCTGAGCGGTCTTGCACTGACTAAAGTGGGCACGCTCGGAGGAAGGGAGGTGGCGATGCACAGCAAGACGTGCAGCAGCATCGCGGGTCGCCCACTTGGAGCGAACGGCGGAATCAGCATCAGCAGGAGGGGCAGGGACAGCGCCAGAGACAAAGTCAAAGAGAGAGACCTCATCGATCGCATCACACAGTAAGTACAGCTGCAGATCTTCAATCCAGACTGCAAAGTCAATGGCTCTACCCTCAGCGTCAAAAGCTAGGACATTGGGGATGGCCATGACAGCAGCTGACAGTCTCACCGGGCAGGAAGAGTCGGGTAGGTCAGCGGCACAGGAACACAGCCCAGGAGCAGCAGTAGCCCGACAGGAGCAGGAGTGCGGCTCCTCTGGCGGCTCGGGCAGCTCGGGCGGCTCGGGCGGCTCGGGCGGCTCGGGCGGCGCGGGCGGCTCGGGCGGCGGCACGGGCGGCTGGGGCGGCGCGGGCGGCTCGGGCGGCGGCACGGGCGGCTGGGGCGGCGCTCGGGCGGCTGCACGGGCGGCTGGTGTGGCTCGTGGGCGGCTAGCGAGCGGCTCACGGGCTGCTGCATGGGTAGCTGCACGGGTAGGCGGACGGGCGGGTGCACGGGCGGGAACACGGGCGGGTGCACGGGCGGCCTCACGGGCGGCTGCACGGTCAGCTACACGGGCGGGTGAACGGGCTGGTGCACGGGCGGCTACAAGGGCGGGTGCACGGGCGGCTCACGGGCGGGTGCACGGGCGGGTGCACGGGCAGGTGCACGGGCGGGTGCACGGGCGGCGACACGGGCGGCTGCACGGGCTGTTCGTCGGGCGGCGTCAGGGCGGCGCGTGGGCGGCGGTCTGGGCAGCGGGACGGGCGGCGCGGTGGGCAGCGCGACGGGCGGCGCTCTGGCGGGCAGCGGACAGCGCGACGGGCGGCGCTAGGGCGGCCGCACGGGCAGCGCGGCGGGCGGCGCTAGTGGGCGGCGCTATGGGCGGCTGCAAGGGCGGCGCTCACGGGCGGCGCTAACGGGTGGCACGACGGGCGGCGGCTCACGGGCGGCGCTACGGGCGGCGGCTCACGGGCGGCGCTACGGGCGGCCGCACGGGCGGCGCTACTGGCGGCGCTAACGGGCAGCGCGAACGGGCGGCCGCACGGGCGGCGCTAACGGGCGGCGCTAACGGGCGGCGCGAACGGGCGGCCGCACGGGCGGCGCTAACGGGCGGCGCTAACGGGCGGCTCGAAAGGGCGGGCGCCGAGGTGGGCGCTAGGGCGCTCGTTAGGGCGGGCGCTAGGGCGGGCGCTAGGGCACTAAGGCGCTAGGGCAGAAAAAAAAAGTTTTAGGTGGTGGGCCCTAAGCACAGTTCCCACAGGGGAACCTGCTCTGATTCCAAGAGAAGAAGTGAACGAGAGAATGGGTGAACTATGAACGAAGTGAGTACAAATACGAAACCATAGCTGGGTTGTACCCCCTATGGGATACCCCACTATAGCCTACACAAATAAGTAAGCTATAATATTCTGACACATTAGTAGCTGAAAAAGGGTGTGAGGAGGAGGGGTAAGATGAGTGGGATGGAATGGCAAGGATGGGTGGTGTTTGGAGCTACTGCGGCTGCTGCAGCTGCTGCTCCTGCTCCTGCTGCTTCTCCTGCTCCTGCTGCTGCTCCAGCTGCTCCTGCTCCTGCTGTTGCAGCTGCGGCTGCTCGTGGAGAGCTGCATGGGAACAGCCCACGTCGGCTAAGAGAGCCTGGTCTTCCATGCGCTGTTTACCCTATAACACCATCCAGAAGAGGAGCGGGAGGGCAGGGGGTAAGGGAGGAAGGAGATACGAATGGATGGCGTGGCTTTCTTGGCAACGATGCTGAGGTGATCCAACGGGGATGCTGCACTGAGTGCTGTGTGGGAAAGGCTCGCATTGCATCCACTGATTACTGCTACTGCGCTGCTTGCTGCTGTGCTGCCCCACCAGCCATGCACCCACCCCGATGAACTCAACCGTCCCCAAATTACCTCCCATCCCCAAATTACCTCCCATTTCCAAATTACCTCCCATACCCTTCCCGCATGCACCTTTGACTTATAGGACAATCGAAAGTGCTCCATCACCCTGTGCTGCCCCACCAGCCGCTGCAGCCTGCCGTCTTTGTTCTCCACCTCCTGCTGCGTGCCCGCCAGGTGTTGCTGTAAGGAGGAGGAGGAGACAAGGAAAGGGGGGAATAAGAACAGATGAGAATTTTGAGATTTGGGTGTTATGCTGATGGTGTACTAACAGAGGCTTTAACTCCACTACCTAATCAGCCGATTCTAGGTCCCCCCCAAAAAAGAAAGCCTCGCCTTGAGGTGCGCACTCTCATGGTTAGTGTTTTGAGTCAAGTTGGCTCAAAATACGACTCATTTCTCACCCGGAGCTGGGCATTCTCTCGGACGAGTGCCGGCTCGTGTTTATTGAGAGGTCTCAAAAAACATATTCAGCATGCAATTCCCCTTCTTGGATTTTGAGAATTCTACAAAAACTGACTCTAGCTCAATTGAAGAAGTCTCACCTAGAGCTGCTTAATCTCAAAATCTCCAACGGGTCGTGTTTTGATTTGAGTCGACTCACAACACGACTGATGAGAATTCGCAGCTCATTTCTCACGTGGAGCTGCATAATCATATGTGCACGCGCCAGCTCCTCCTGCTCTCTCAGGTCGACCACGCTTGTCTGCACTGCCAGGTCCACCTGCAATCGCTCCATCTCCTCCAAAGACCAGTGGAGATGGTGAGAGGATGAGAAGACAGGGAAGAAAAGGACGCTAAACAGTACCTCTTCGTTCCTTTTTCTTCTTCTTCTTTTTTCCAAAAGGGTTACAAACGTATCAGCAGCGTGTATGAGGGCGTTCACACCATCTTCTGCAGAGGCCTGCACACATTACATAACCGTGCTGCGACACTGTGGCAATCAGGCAATTGCTAATGGCGCTTTTATTCAATCAATCTGAAATCATACGAGGGATTTTTTAGTTCTCAAATGAGAGCATCTAGAGCAAGACAATAGGGGAAATGGTGAAGTGAGGGGTATACAGAAAGGTGGAGGAACGAGGCAGAGTGGAAAGCGATGGCTCACTTCCCTACCTCATAAACGAGAGGTTTAGAGGGGTGACAGTGGAGAGGAGAGCGGATGAAATAAGGAATGGTGGAGAAGGCAGGAGGTGTGGGTAGAAAGTGTGATGTAGCAAGTAAATAAGGAAAGAAGAAACAACACTCCAGTATTATGATTATAAAGGGGAAGGAGGGGGGGGCAGATGGGTCGGGCCGGTCCCAGCTCGGATCAGGCCAGAAGGAGCCTGCCTGTATATGCTGGGCGATGGGGTGACAATCCAATACAGTCCTAACCCATGCTCATCGCTGGTACATAGCAGAGTAGTTTTTTGAGTCGACTCAGAATAAGCCTGCCTGTATATGCCAAGCAATGGGGTGACAATCCAATACAGTCCTAACCCATGCTCATCGTTGGTACATAGCAGAGTAGTTTTTTGAGTCGACTCAGAATAAGCCTGCCTGTATATGCCAAGCAATGGGGTGACAATCCAATACAGTCCTAACCCATGCTCATCGCTAGTGCATAGCAGAGCAAGAAGAGAGAGGAGTAGATGCAATGAGTGGGGAGGAAGGCAGAGGGCGGAGCAGAAAGACCAGTGAGGGAACGAGGGGTTGGTGGCTTACATGTCATTCTCGTGAGTGCGCTGACGAGTCTTGCGTTGCCTCTTATGCTTCTGATGGTAGCAGGAGGAGAGAGCATGGGAAAAGGCATGGGGGAGAGCACGGAAGAGAGCAAGGGAGAGAGCAGAGGAGAGAACATGGGCGAAAGCAAGGGAGAGAGGAAGGGAGAGAGCAAGGGAGAGAGCATGGGAGAGACTTTTAGACTCGCAAAGAACCCAGCTTTTGGGCCACAGTAAACCCACGTTCTTCACCTGCTGCTGGTTCCACATCCGCGCCTCCTCTTCAGTCAGCTCTAGCACTATCACTCCTGGTGATGCTGCTGCTGGCCCTGGAGTCGCCTCCAAGGTCAGGTCTACCACTGGCACTCCTGCTGATGCTCCTGCAGGCGTGCATCCCACATCCCAACCACCTCCAGTAGCAGCAGCAGCAGCACGTGCAGGCGTGCTCACAACAACTGCCTCCTCCTCAGGCAACTCCAGCAGGATCGCTCCTCCTGCTGATGCTCCTGCTGATGCTCCTGCCGATGCTCCTGTTGATGCTCCTGCTGATGCTCTTGCTAATGCTCCTGCTGATGCTCCTGCAGACGTGCCTGCCACATCCCAACCACCTCCAGTAGCAGCAGCAGGCGCAGCAGCAACACGTGCAGGGGTGCTCAAAACTGCCTCCTCAGGCAGTTACAGCAGTATCGTTACTTTTGCTGATGCTCCTGCAAACGTGCCTGCCCAACCACAAACAGCAGTGGCAGCAGGTGCAGCAGCATAAGCACGTGCAGGGGTGCCCACCACCACCTCCTCTCCACGATCCCCCACCACCTCCTCTCCACGATCCCCCACCACCTCCTCTCCACGATCCCCCACCTCCTCCTCTCCATGATCCCCCACCACCTCCTCTCCACGATCCCCCACCACCTCCTCTCCACGATCCCCCACCACCTCCTCTCCACGATCCCCCACCACCTCCTCTCCACGATCCCCCACCACCTCCTCTCCACGATCCCCCACCACCTCCTCTCCACGATCCCCCACCACCTCCTCTCCACGATCCCCCACCTCCTCCTCTCCACGATCCCCCACCACCTCCTCTCCACGATCCCCCACCTCCTCCTCTCCACACCCCACCTCCGCCTCTGCTTCATACCACACCTCCACCTCCTCTCCACACCCCCACACCACCTCCTCTCCACACCCCCACACCACCTCGTTTCCGCACCCCGTCCTCACGTCCTCTCCACGCTCCCCCCCTTCCTCCGCTCCACGCCCCCTCACCTCCTCCTCTCCACGCTCCCCCACCTCCTCTTCTCCACGCTCCCCCACCTCCTCTTCTCCACGCTCCCCCACCTCCTCTTCTCCACGCTTCCCCACCTCCTCTTCTCCAGACTCCGCCACCACTCTGCCAAGCTCAACACCGTCACCCACCCCTTCCAGCACAGCCTGCAGAATCATCACCTCAGCGTCAGCCTCACTCCTCTCCATCCACCCATCCATCTTCGCTTCCTTTGCTTCCACCGCCTCTGCCCCGCTCAATGTTTCCATGGCTCTCTGCACGTCCTCCTGCAGGCTTGACAACCTCTCTCTCTCTTGCTCCTGCTGCATCTTCAGGGTTGCAACCCTCGCTCTCACTCCCTCCTCTGCATTCCGCAGGCCTGCCAGCCTCTCTCTTGCTCTCTCCTCCTCCTCCAGCCCTGTCAGCTCCTTACTCGCTCTCTATTTCTTCTCCTGCAGGCTAGACAACCTCTCTCTTGCTTGCTCCTGCACCTTCTGCAGGGTTGCAACGCTCGCTCTCACTCCCTCCTCCGCATTCCGCAGGCCTGCCAGCCTCTCTCTTGCTCTCTCCTTCTCCTCCTCCAGCCCTGTCAGCTGCTTACTCGCTCTCTCTTTCTTCTCCTGCAGGCTAGACAGCCTCTCTCTTGCTTGCTCCTGCACCTTCTGCAGGGTTGCTACACTCGCTCTCACTCACTCCTCTGCATTCCGCAGGCCTGCCAGGCTCTCTCTTGCTCTCTCCTCCTCCCCCTCCACCCCTGCCAGCCTCTCACTCGTTCTCTCCACCTTCTCTTGAAGCCCTGCCAGCCTCCCTCTTGCTCTTTCCTCCTCCTCCTCCAGCCCTGCCAGCTGCATACTCGCTCTCTACCTCTTCTCCTGTAGGCTTGCCAGGTCGTCATGCAACCCTTCCAGCGTCTCTCTCACTCTCTCCTCCTCCTCATACTGCCCCCTCAGCATCTCTCTCATTCTCTCCACCTCCTCATGCAGCCCCGCCAGTGTCTCTCTCATTCTCTCCTTTTCCTGTCTCACCAGATTCTCCCTCGCTCTCTCCCCTACCACTGCCGCCTCTTCCTTTGCCTCCTGCAGCTTCCGCGCTGCTTCCTCTTGTGCCTTTCTCTCCCCCACTCGCTCCCTTTCCTCCAGTTCCTCTACCCTCCTCAGCGCCTCATCCCTCTCTTCCGTCAACCTCCTCACATCCTCTCCCTCCCTCACTCTCTCCCCTCGTGCTGCCACGTCACTCCCCTCCCCTCATCCACCACGTCAGCCTCCACATCTGCCACCGCAAGTCCTCCTGCTTCCCCCGCTGCAGCCTTGCCCCTCATGGAAAGCGGAGACTCAATCCTCTTGGCGCAAAGGAACGCCATTGCAAGATTCCTTGCAGGAATCCTGCCCTCCTGGTGGTGGGGCAAGGAGGGGAGGGAAGGGGTAAGAGATGGTTGATTCTTGCAACGATGTTTTGAGTCAACTAAAAACACGTGCCCCTCGTGGGAAGGGGAGACTCAAGCCCCTTCGCGCAAAGGAACACCGCCTCAAGATTCCTATTGACCCTGCCCCGCTGGTGGTAGGGCAAGGAGGGGAGGGCAGGGAAGGGTGCAGGAGCTTGGTTGATTCTTTGAGAATTCTTAGTGAGAATTCTAAAAAAAAATACGTGAGATGTGACGATTTTCCAGGCGCCTCACAACTGCCCTCCTGGTAGGGCCAGGAGGGAAGGAGAGAGTGTAAGACTTGGTTGATTCTTCCCGCCAGCCGCTCTCTTCTGATTTAACAGCTCCTTCCCCTGCCGGCTGCATGCGTGGGGAGAAGAGATCGCCGAGCAGGCAGGCAGGGGAGGGAGAGGAGGCACGGCAGGGAGGGCAGGGAGGGGAGGGAGGGTAGGGAGGGGAGGGAGGGGAGGGAGAGGAGGTAGGGTAGGGACGGGAGGGAGGGGAGGGAGAGGAGGGAGGGTAGGGAGAGGAGGGAGGAGAGGGAGGGGAGGGAGGGCAGGGAGGGGAGGGAGGGCAGGGAGGGGAGGGAGGGCAGGGAGGGGAGGGAGGGCAGGGAGGGGAGGGAGGGCAGGGAGGGGAGGGAGGGCAGGGAGGGGAGGGAGGGCAGGGAGGGCAGGGAGGGCAGGGAGGGGAGGGAGGGCAGGGAGGGGAGGGAGGGCAGGGAGGGCAGGGAGGGCAGGGAGGGCAGGGAGGGGAGGGAGGGCAGGGAGGGGAGGGAGGGCAGGGAGGGGAGGGAGGGCAGGGAGGGAAGGGAGGGCAGGGAGGGGAGGGAGGGCAGGGAGGGGAGGGAGGGCAGGGAGGGGAGGGAGGGCAGGGAGGGGAGGGAGGGCAGGGAGGGGAGGGAGGGCAGGGAGGGGAGGGAGGGAAAGGAGGGGAGGGAGGGCAGGGAGGGTAGGGAGGGCAGGGAGGGGAGGGAGGGCAGGGAGGGGAGGGAGGGCAGGGAGGGGAGGGAGGGCAGGGAGGGGAGGGAGGGCAGGGAGGGGAGGGAGGGCAGGGAGGGGAGGGAGGGCAGGGAGGGGAGGGTGGGCAGGGAGGGGAGGGAGGGCAGGGAGGGGAGGGAGGGCAGGGAGGGGAGGGAGGGCAGGGAGGGCAGGGAGGGGAGGGAGGGCAGGGAGGGGAGGGAGGGGATGGAGGGGAGGGAGGGGAGGGAGGGGAGGGAGGGCAGGGAGGGCAGGGAGGGCAGGGAGGGGAGGGAGGGCAGGGAGGGCATGGAGGGCAGGGAGGGCAGGGAGGGCAGGGAGGGCAGGGAGGGCAGGGAGGGCAGGGAGGGCAGGGAGGGGAGGGAGGGCAGGGAGGGAGGGAGGGCAGGGAGGGAAGGGAGGGCAGGGAGGGGAGGGAGGGCAGGGAGGGGAGGGAGGGCAGGGAGGGGAGGGAGGGCAGGGAGGGGAGGGAGGGCAGGGAGGGGAGGGAGGGCAGGGAGGGGAGGGAGGGCAGGGAGGGGAGGGTGGGCAGGGAGGGGAGGGAGGGCAGGGAGGGGAGGGAGGGCAGGGAGGGGAGGGAGGGCAGGGAGGGGAGGGAGGGCAGGGAGGGCAGGGAGGGCAGGGAGGGGAGGGAGGGCAGGGAGGGTAGGGAGGGCAGGGAGGGGAGGGAGGGCAGGGAGGGGATGGAGCGCAGGGAGGGGAGGGAGGGCAGGGAGGGGAGGGAGGGCAGGGAGGGGAGGGAGGGCAGGGAGGGGAGGGAGGGCAGGGAGGGGAGGGAGGGCAGGGAGGGCAGGGAGGGCAGGGAGGGGAGGGAGGGCAGGGAGGGGAGGGAGGGCAGGGAGGGCAGGGAGGGGAGGGAGGGCAGGGAGGGGAGGGAGGGCAGGGAGGGGAGGGAGGGCAGGGAGGGGAGGGAGGGCAGGGAGGGGAGGGAGGGCAGGGAGGGGAGGGAGGGCAGGGAGGGGAGGGAGGGCAGGGAGGGTAGGGAGGGCAGGGAGGGGAGGGAGGGCAGGGAGGGGAGGGAGGGCAGGGAGGGCAGGGAGGGCAGGGAGGGCAGGGAGGGCAGGGAGGGGAGGGAGGGCAGGGAGGGCAGGGAGGGGAGGGAGAGGAGGGAGGGGAGGGAGGGCAGGGAGGGCAGGGAGGGCAGGGAGGGGAGGGAGGGCAGGGAGGGAAGGGAGGGCAGGGAGGGGAGGGAGGGCAGGGAGGGGAGGGAGGGCAGGGAGGGGAGGGTGGGCAGGGAGGGGATGGAGCGCAGGGAGGGGAGGGAGGGCAGGGAGGGGAGGGAGGGCAGGAGGGGAGGGAGGGCAGGGAGGGGAGGGAGGGCAGGGAGGGGAGGGAGGGCAGGGAGGGCAGGGAGGGCAGGGAGGGGAGGGAGGGCAGGGAGGGGAGGGAGGGCAGGGAGGGCAGGGAGGGCAGGGAGGGCAGGGAGGGGAGGGAGGGCAGGGAGGGGAGGGAGGGCAGGGAGGGGAGGGAGGGCAGGGAGGGGAGGGAGGGCAGGGAGGGGAGGGAGGGCAGGGAGGGGAGGGAGGGCAGGGAGGGGAGGGAGGGCAGGGAGGGGAGGGAGGGCAGGGAGGGGAGGGAGGGCAGGGAGGGCAGGGAGGGCAGGGAGGGGAGGGAGGGCAGGGAGGGGAGGGAGGGCAGGGAGGGCAGGGAGGGCAGGGAGGGCAGGGAGGGGAGGGAGGGCAGGGAGGGGAGGGAGGGCAGGGAGGGGAGGGAGGGCAGGGAGGGAAGGGAGGGCAGGGAGGGGAGGGAGGGCAGGGAGGGGAGGGAGGGCAGGGAGGGGAGGGAGGGCAGGGAGGGGAGGGAGGGCAGGGAGGGCATGGAGGGCAGGAGGGCAGGGAGGGCAGGGAGGGCAGGGAGGGCAGGGAGGGCAGGGAGGGCAGGGAGGGGAGGGAGGGCAGGGAGGGAGGGAGGGCAGGGAGGGAAGGGAGGGCAGGGAGGGGAGGGAGGGCAGGGAGGGGAGGGAGGGCAGGGAGGGGAGGGAGGGCAGGGAGGGGAGGGAGGGCAGGGAGGGGAGGGAGGGCAGGGAGGGGAGGGAGGGCAGGGAGGGGAGGGTGGGCAGGGAGGGGAGGGAGGGCAGGGAGGGGAGGGAGGGCAGGGAGGGGAGGGAGGGCAGGGAGGGGAGGGAGGGCAGGGAGGGCAGGGAGGGCAGGGAGGGGAGGGAGGGCAGGGAGGGTAGGGAGGGCAGGGAGGGGAGGGAGGGCAGGGAGGGGATGGAGCGCAGGGAGGGGAGGGAGGGCAGGGAGGGGAGGGAGGGCAGGGAGGGGAGGGAGGGCAGGGAGGGGAGGGAGGGCAGGGAGGGGAGGGAGGGCAGGGAGGGCAGGGAGGGCAGGGAGGGGAGGAGGGCAGGGAGGGGAGGGAGGGCAGGGAGGGCAGGGAGGGCAGGGAGGGCAGGGAGGGGAGGGAGGGCAGGGAGGGGAGGGAGGGCAGGGAGGGGAGGGAGGGCAGGGAGGGGAGGGAGGGCAGGGAGGGGAGGGAGGGCAGGGAGGGGAGGGAGGGCAGGGAGGGGAGGGAGGGCAGGGAGGGTAGGGAGGGCAGGGAGGGGAGGGAGGGCAGGGAGGGGAGGGAGGGCAGGGAGGGCAGGGAGGGCAGGGAGGGCAGGGAGGGCAGGGAGGGGAGGGAGGGCAGGGAGGGCAGGGAGGGGAGGGAGAGGAGGGAGGGGAGGGAGGGCAGGGAGGGGAGGGAGGGCAGGGAGGGGAGGGAGGGCAGGGAGGGAAGGGAGGGCAGGGAGGGGAGGGAGGGCAGGGAGGGGAGGGAGGGCAGGGAGGGGAGGGTGGGCAGGGAGGGGATGGAGCGCAGGAGGGGAGGAGGCAGGGAGGGAGGC